TGCCTGCCTGTCCAACCAATCTAAGCGATCCTCGGCCACGCGGACACGAGACTCAAGGAGGTCGTGTGAAATCTGCAAGCTATGAAGATGGCTGGACAAAGCCTCAAAACTCGAGAGGCTGCTAGGGTGCTCAGACGCCTCGGACACAGCGAGACCTGCCGGAGCGGCCTCTTCCATCCGACTGCCCCACCAGGGCAGTCTTGCACGGTGCTCTAAGAGCAACACCGAAATACAGAGGACTCAGACCTGTTAGACAGAATGACAGGCCTCTAGAGAGCCCTGACAAAATTTTCGCCCCACTTTTGCCAGTAGGGCACTTGAGCACAAAGCTGCCCGGCTTGCATTCATGATCAACACCACAAGTGATTGATGTCATGCAAAATAATGGCAAAAGCTTGAGGGCGAAAGGACAAACACATGTTTGTTTAAAACATCCAATTTGCACAAAACAAATTTTCCACCGGTTTGATTCGATTGACGGATGCACCCAGCGCATCCTTTTCACACAAGGCAATAAAGATTTATCGCTCCGCGATGTGTTTCTTGCTGCCATCGGTGCATACGATACAGTAATCAGTACATGCTACTACAAATGTTTGAGCTCGTTTGGTCACCCGCCCCGACGTTGGTCCTAGAAACACTCTGTTCATTGTAATCGCCGTGCCTCATGCGAGCCCCGAAAAGCGATGTTGCCGTCAACAGCCTCTAGACCATTGGATGACGTTAGTCAGATGTGTCTTAAATTAGAACCATGGAGCCTAGCTTTCAACGTGCTTTGCAGGTTCCAATTAGATGGACCCTATAGATTCCGATTTTTGCATACTGATCTTTCAAAACTTGGGACAGTGCCAAAAGCCTGGAGTGCTTTGTACTTGCACTAGGAACTGTTCAATCCATTAGGAAATCTGGAAAGCAAGCCGCTTTTCATTTGTCACGGACATGAAGAACATCAAAGCGCACGCGTGTTGGGGAAAACAGAACACCCCCCCCCCTCCCCCCACGTTTTGTATTTGCTAAATTCCTCCAAAAACTAGCCCATGCGTTGTTAATGGAAGGTTTAAAGCCCTCCAACATATGCAGTGTCAATTCAACGCATTCGATAACCCATACTTCCTAAGTTTTGCTGGTTGATTGGGGGGTTCGGAAATCCTGGGCTCCTGAACTCTGTTTATGGTTGCTTTCGAAACAACCCTATCGAATCCGGGTTCCATTTAGAAACTAAACTTTGTGCGTAAAACTTGTTTCCACTGGGCGGGGTTGGGATTTCCATGCGTTTCGGGTTTTTGGTTGCCTGTTACTTGAATGTATGTGAGGCAAGACTGGAATTTTCTGGCTTTCTGTTTTGTTTGCAACCACACAGGAGTCCCCTAAAGCATACATCCTGCTGGTTCAAGTCAACTACGCTGCACATCCTCTGACAGGTGTTACCAACGCATTGTTTTTTGGGGCCAGGCGGGGTGGGAGACAGGGTTGGGGGGAGCATGTTGTGTTATAAAACATTTCTCTGAGTTCGTATCAGAACTGATGGGTCCAGGTCAATACCAGAAACCAAGCCCCAAGTCAATTGCGTCACCAGTCTGCTTCAGACGTATCAGTGTTTGCTCGAGCTTTGCTTGGAATGCACACTGTTTACAGTGCCATGCCCTAGCCTCGCCCTAGACGCCTCTTCATACCTGTTTACACCCTGATCGCTCGGACGACATGAGCGTGCATCCACGTCACTTCCTGACGCAATACGTGGCACGGAATGGCATCGACTCGTTTTTGTTTTGGCTTTGGTGTGGTGCTGTGCATCCAAATGCAAGGGCATTCGTGCTGATAATGTCCTGCAATGTCGTCAGAACATATGTAAAGCGCTGGAGCAAACCTCAAAGTCTCAAAGGCAACTTCCGGATGCACGTCGGAGGAAAGCATCTAGGTTACGCTATCGAAGGGTTTTGCAAGCTGTTCTGCAGTGCTTAGTGCTCAGCTGATCTGTCTGAGTTCCTGCCCTTCCTGCGCCACCCTGCCCGGCTGGCGCCAACGCGCCACCTGTGTCTTGAAACTTTGTGTGCGCACCATTTGCACCTTCTGCGTCAATTGCACCACATGTGGCACATCTGTGATCTGGGTAAAGTGTATATATTGACAATAACAACTATAAGAATATATATATATATATATATATACTGGTATGTATGTGCGGTCACGTGTATGTATGTATGTATGTATGTTTATATACACATATATATACACACACACATGCCGCCTTTATTCTGTCTTAATTACTACGGGGGTATAAGATGGCTCACGGTGCGGGAGGGATGCGATGCGGGGTGCAGGGGGTGGGGGGGTGGGGGGTGCGGAAGGGGTGCGGAGGGGTGTGGAGGGGTGCGAGGCCAGCCCTTGTTTTGACAGCCAACGACCACAGCTCCCAGAGCAATGACGAAGAGTTGCGCTCTGGCACCGCCTCGCGAAAAGGAAAGCTCTGTGGTGATAGTAGATTCTATGATATATATATATATATATATGTATATGTATGCATGTATGTATGTATAGATATATATATATATATATGTATATAAGCCGCTGGAGGCTGGAGTTCGTTGTCTAAAACCGCAAATAAGGATCATTTGCGAATCCTTTACATGTTGTTTAACTTTCAATGAATGAAGGCATGTTGGGCAGCTCTGAATTCAATCCATCTGCTCGTCAAAGACAACGATGCTCTAGAACTTGACAGCATGATTGGGGATATTTCAGCACCTATGAGGATGCACTGTGCATCGTGCAGTCTTTCAATCCCAAGGCCGTTCCCAACGAAGTTGACATCAGGATTCGCTTGTATCGTGCAACGATGGTTTGACGAGCTCGGCCTATATACAGCTTATCGCGTCGGGTACGGTGTGTTTGGGTTGTGTGACCTCGTTGGACGATTGGTGGATTCCTTGTGCGGTCGGGACCTGGGGCTTATCTACAATGCCTGGAAACTCTATCTGTGGCACCGCCCGCTCTTGACGAAAACTTTTCATTGTCATGTAATTACGGACCCTGCCCCCGTGAACCCGGATGATTGTTGATTGTATAGGCCAACCAACCATGGCTTTTGCATCCTTCCAAACGGTAACATGCCTTGTTCTACGACCCTGTCAGCAATACATTGTTTCAGGATCGATCAAGCACTTGTGCGCAGAAGCTTGAAAACCGTGGCTTTAAACCCCAGCAGATTTCTGAAACTCGACAGACCTCAGAAGCTCCCTGCAAGTCACAATCTTGAAACCCCGAGCTTGGCGAACAATGTACCTCTTTGTGAACCGTGTTGAAAACTCCGTGTGACCGGTGATGAATATTTGCTGCAAACCCTTAGCATACGGCAACATAAGTTGCCCAGAGTCCGGCAATGAAACCAATATTCGCGTTCTCCCGCATGTGCAAGCTCCAGCGGCTGCTCCTTTTGACAAGACGGAAATACGTAGTGATACACGCTGCAAACTTATCCGACTGCTGAACAACCCTAAGGACGTTGCTGCCAGGCTCTCAATTAAATGTTTTTTGTTCTGAAACGTGGTTTGGGGGAGCCTGGCTTCAATTTCAACGAACACAACCAAGTTAAAGCAGCAAGAGTTGAAATCTATTTCTACTCTAAGTGAGTATTCCTTATAACTTCAGTGCTACATCAAAGTTAGAGCAGCAGGAACTGAAATCTGTTTCTACTCTACTAATTTCATGAGTATTCCTTATGACTTCGCGACTTTGCGATTCGGCACATGGGGTACATCAATGATATCAAGCATTCTTCTGTGCAAACAACGAGATCAGCAGGCAGGACGAACTATAGCGCACCCTACGGCCTTCCAAATTCAAGTATCATATTGACATGCAGCTGTCGACGTGCTCCTGAAACTACATGGCGGGCAACAATCAGTCGAGAGTCGGCCGGCAGCCATGATTGCACCCGGCAGGCGCAGCACGCAAATGCCGGAATAGGCCGGTTGGAGCTTCTGCTTTTTTGTGTTAACTTCTCAATTCAGTGTAGGATTTAGGGGCGAAGGGCAACAAAGGTCTCGAACAACCCAGAGCTAAACCCATTTCCAAAGCAGCAAGAGCTGCAAAAATATCGTTGCTCGTCCACTCCCTAGCTCTGCCTCGGATGACACGCTTTGCGCCAAATTGACACTGGACAAGCATGGCTGCGGCTACGTGTGGAGCATGAAAAGTTGAAATGTTCCCTCCCCGTCGCTTCCTGCGATGGATTAACCCTCTTCCCGGCCCCCAAGATTAAACTGACTCCCTGCGAACATATTCTAATATCAACTGGCCGCAAATTCAGCAGTCCTACATTCCTGCGTTTGCTGCACGCTGCAATCCCCGAAGGTCAGCAACTCCTCCGTTTGAACACGAAAGTAATATATATATATATATATGTTTGTTCCAGTCGAGAAATTCCTCCGCTGGCAAGGCCACATCATGGTACTCCAAGTCCTCCGCCAGGCAAAGACATCCCTAGTGCGACAATAGATTTTTTCCTGCTGATGTAATCCTTTAAACCTCAACTCTGAGACATGGACAGACAGAGAGAGAGAGAGAGAGAGAGAGAGAGAGAGAGAGAGAGAGAGAGAGAGAGAGAGAGAGAGAGAGAGAGAGAGAGAGAGAGAGAGAGAGAAGAGAGAGGAGAGAGAGAGAGAGAGAGAGAGAGAGAGAGAGAGAGAGAGAGAGAGAGAGAGAGAGAGAGAGAGAGAGAGAGAGAGAGAGAGAGGGAGAGAGAGATAGAGAGAGAGAGAGAGAGAGAGAGAGAGAGAGAGAGAGAGAGAGAGAGAGAGAGAGAGTTTCGACACAGGTTCAGTAATTGCTGCTCTGCTGCTGCTGCTGCTGCTACGACGACTACGACTGTGACTCATGCTGTTTGCGATGCTGGAAGATTTGCTCCCCCAAGCCGCGCTGTCAGCCCTCGGAAACAGAATCATTTTTGGACTCCGAGGCTAGGCAAAGTCGAGCATGCAAAGAATGCAACAAGGCTCTGGCTAGTTCGATGTCGCAAAGGCTTGCTGCAGAGCGACCACAACTTCAGGATGTTGTCCCAAGGAGTCTTTGCGGAGAAGCTGGGTCATGCTGATCAAGTCGTCCAGGTTCGTAGCCAGCAGCGGGTCCGCTTCACACCATGTAGGGTAGTGGTCACGGTTGAAGTGTGCATAGTTGAGACGAAGGTAGCCAAGGCAGTTCAAGAGGTACCACCAAGGTCTGGACATCAACCGGTTCTCTTGAGGCAACAAGCTGGAGAAGTTGGCCCAGAGTCGCTCACACGGCATGGTGCCTGAATGCACGATTTTTTCACCAGCCTCTATGAGGGCTTGTGCTGCCAATCGCCACCGCAGCAAACCCTCCATACGATGGTCCAGCAACGTCCTAAAATGTTTGCGGACCTGAAAGGTCACGGCACTGCGGCGGCCGGGCTTCCAGGGCGTGTCCTTCATACCAAGGCGTATTCCGCGCTTGCGGCGGCAAGACTTGCGGCCTGGTGTGTACCAATCCAGTATACGCTGAATCTCGACTCGAAAATCTTCATCACAGCCGTAGCCATGGCCTTGATTCCGGGCATGAAGGACTGCATCAGCAGCAGCAGCAAGTCTTTGCAATGTCCTTCGCGGTGGAATAGCATGGAAAGTGGCGAGCCAAACCGGAGCCTTCTGGACATTGGGATGCTGCAAGAAACTGCGCAGCTCCGCCGAGACTGAGGGAGCAGGTTTACTTGCCTCGGCTTGGTATTTTGATTTGGGTAGCTTCACTGCGAGCCGCAAGAGTTCAAGTGCCTTTCCGCGCAATTCTGGATTGTCGACCCTCGCCTGACCGGCTGCAGGGACGTGCTGTGGGCGCGACAACCTGAGGAGTGCATCTTTGTGGTCCAACAACATGTCAAAGCTATCATTTGCGTAAACACTTGTGAGAGAGCGAAGTTTGAACAGGTCGTGCAGAGGCTCACCCGCGATGATGGTGCCCTCGCCATAGAGGTCGAAGGCACGCACCTTCTTGCCACTCGCAATGGCTTTGGGGGTCTCGTGTGCTGGCTCGAGTCGTCCTTCTGGAAAAACATCCTGGAAAAGCTGCTTCAGCTTGAGGTGATGCTTGCCGTAGGAGTCTGTGGTGAAGAACCTGGCTCTCACTTGCACAGGAACCAAAGCGGGCTGGTGTGGTTGGGGCCGGCCTCAAACAAGTGGGACTATATAGCTGCGTGCGCATGAGTCGTTGCAACGCAAAGCTTACAACAAGCAAAGGCAAGACACACGGGGCGAGCTTCCTGAGCGGTGTATCCTTGTTGCAGGAAGGTGTCTCGGATGTCTTGCAGCAAAGGCTTGAGTACGCTGCTGATAGGCTCCCACCATTCACCTTTCAAAGGAGACAGCAGATCCAGGAGCGACCCATCGGTCCCACATAACCCCAGCAACACCGTGCAAGGGTCTTCGGAGTCATCCAGCAGCAACCGTTTAGCCATTTTGAAATTTCCATCGATCCGGATGCCCTTGCTATTGTAGAGGAGCTGGCGACGACGCATTCTTGCCACCTATTGCTGCACAAGCGTGGCCATGCCCTTCAAGAGGACGCCTCGCACCACGGCGTTCTTCGGAAGGCAAGAGACCTGCCAGGCCAGGCTATAAGGCGCTGCCCCTGTGAAATGCATACTCGTTGATCCGTGGAGGGCAGCAGCACTGTACCAGTGGGCCATACCACGGCGTGCAGCTCTAGCATTCAAGGTCTCATAGAAGTATTTGGCGAGCTGGAAGAACCATGAATTTGTAAAGAAGCAGGGTCGCTGATGGGGTTCGCGGTGCACAAGACACTGGAAATGCTTACAGATATCATCATCTGTAACTTGAAAGTACTGCTGAAAGGCATCGGCCTGCCAGCCCTGGAGCTTGTTGAGAGGCACACGGTCCGCGATTGCTCCTGACAATACAAGAGTACACTTGTGACGGCAAGCACAAGGCTTTCCATTCCGCAACTAGTTAGTTCCTATTTCAGCAATCCACATTGGACCCACATGGCCTTTGTGGTGGCAGGTGGAACACCACCCAGAGGGTGCCAGAAATTCCCGCGGAAAGGGCATGTCCAGGACAAAGCTTGGTTGGCAGTTGCGATGCGATTGAATAATAGAATGATTCTCTCCATTTGCCTTCGCGAACTCCTGGTGCGCTTTGGCTGCTTGCGGGAACAGTATCTCTGGAGTAGCAGAGGGAAGGGTCTGCTGGCACTGTGCTTGCCGCAAATCATGCTGCAAGTGTCGCAAAACTGCACTGACGATGTCAAGCGCACCCGTACCCGGAAGTTCCAGGTCGTGTTCAGGAGCTGTGAAGACCTTCACGGCACGGTCAGTGGTCAGCCGCCACCTCAACTCTTGCTGCCTCCACGTGGGAGAACTCACGCACTGGCAATGATGTGACCTTGCCCATGCGGAACTCGTTGCATGAGTGCTGCTCGAGCTCTGCAACATCCGCAGTTTGGACTTTGTACCGACAGAATGTATCCAACACGAAGAACTTCTTGCCATTGCGCTGCACGACGGTGCCTCGTCGAACATCGCCGGTCATGGCCTGATCCTTGTCATCGTCAAAGAAGTTAAAGAGGCGGGTATCCTGGAGCTTCTGAAAAAGCTCAACAGATCTTCCCAGTAGCAGTCTCCTCCCAAGCACCACATGCAGGGGGTCGGCACGAGCATCTGCTGTGGTAGAAAGGCGCTGGTCAGGTCTTTGGGCCTGGCTTGCTGCCCTTGTACGCGTGGGAGGCGTGCGACTTCTCTGGCGCAGGTGCGCCGGCCGTGCTTCCTCTGCATCACGGTCTGCAGAGACTTTGGGCATGATCTGGAGCAGCGCCTAAAGATTGTTTTCTCGGTGTATATAGCTAGGAAGCCAGGAAGGTACGCGCAGCATGTGCTGTGCATCGCTATGGACTATGTAGACTTGTCCACTGCATTCACTAATTATTAAGTGCTCAGTAGCTTTTCATTTCTCGCACTGGAGTGTCAGGCCGTAGTCGTTGTGTCTGACTTGCGCTTGCGAGATGGCTGCACGGAGGCAAGTTCACGCCGAGGTTGTCTACTGCGGATCTCTGAGCACTGCCTGGCATACAGACGCACACAGCGGTGAAGCAGAAGCAGAACCGCCGAGAATAAAAACCTGTGCTGCTGTCACTTGTTACGGCGCCGCGCCGGTGCACGCAACAGAGCTGGTCATGCAGCGTCTGCTGCGTGGTCCAGGTTAGCAGAGAGTACTGCTGGACTAATTATTGATCGCTACTGGATCCGACTTGCTACGAGAACTAGATGTGGCGCAGGTTGGCTTTCCAACTCCTACATGGATGACGGGGCAATGGTGAAAGAAGCTCTCAGCCAAGATGATCGCGACTGAGGTCCAACGCCGTGATCTTGGCCTTGGCTTCTTCGTCGAGATCGCCCCATTTTGCGATGCCGTACCATGGCCCCTGGCTCTTCTCGTCAGGGCTGGGGCGGTCCACTTCAATCAGGATGCCCAGATCAGTCAAAGGCTTGAATGCATCCTGGACGACTTTGGCCAGCTGTTGGGTATTGCGAAACTGCGATCTGCTCTTGATCTCCTTTCGGAACTTGGAGTGGCTGGTAGGGCTTTGCTTGGCCTTGCTGACAATCTCACGCTGCAGCTGCTCCGACATGCTCCACTTCTTGGGCGGTGGCGGGGGATCTGTGTTTGAGAGAGAGTCGGCGAAGTGGTCTCTGGTGCGAGACTCGGCCGTAGCACGCTTTTCCGCATCCTTGGTGAAGCGGAGGAAGCCCATGAAAAGCTCCACTGTCCTCAGCCAAGAGTGTATCGCAGACATCATCTCCAAGGGCGTGATTGCGACCTCAGCTTGTCGGCTGTTACAGGGCGTGCTGAAACATGAGACTCAGGGGCATTCTGATACTTTCTTCGTACTTGTACATTGCCCAAGGAACTCTGGACTCGTTGCTGGGAACGCGGGGACACTGTGTTTCCAGGCACTGAACCATGCGCATGCGGGCAAGCGCGTCACGAAGGATGTCGGAGTAAGCAAAAGCAGCTTCACCTGCAGGTAGCGATCGACGTCGTTCTCTTGAAGCCAGTCCTTGACCGCAGAGACTGTGGTTCTGAAAAGGGTGAGAGCTTGGCCGTCTGCATGGAGGTATGCGGGCGCGTTAATCGCACGCAGAAATTGAGAGTCATGCACGCCTTGGAGCAGGCCGGTGGCAATGTCTGCCGGGAAGTCGTCCCTTTGTTCCTGGAAGCCCATACTGACTCGTAGGCAAGGTCTCTTGAAGAACCGCTGCGGCCCCGGGCGCATGAGCCATTCGATGGGCTCTAGCTGTCCGCAAGCTTTCAGTTGGAAGGCATAGGATCGCAAATGGAGGGCGCCATTGGCTGTGAGCACATCATCCCGCTCGCCTGCACGCTTGAAAGGCTCTCGATAGTTGACTGGTTGTTCCGGCCTGTGACTTTATCGTTCGTTTGCCAAAGGCCCCAACCTACGTAGACGTCCTAAAAGACCCTGCCACTCGCAAGAAACCTTGCTCCGAAAACTGGGTCGGGCCCGTGACCATTGCAGTAGAGTCACCTTGCGATAATCTGCAGAGCTTGCTGCGGGAGAGGTAGACATTGCTGGTGCCGGTCTCGGACCAGGGAGTCGCCAGCATTGTGACGACTTCGTCAGTTGTACAGCTGACCCTCTTGTGCTTCACAATGGTTTCCCTGAGCCCGCGTACACTACCGTCCACCGCAAAGACCCGGTGTTTCCGAATGTCGGCTGGCGCATACGGGCTCTGGGTCATAAAGTCAGTCGTACTCTCGGTGAGGTTGGTCTTTCGGTCGGACGCGCTTGCTGCGACAAAGACAGGCTTGTCGGGATTGATGGTGTGGATGCGGGTTTTCGGCTTGATGGGCATCTGACGAAGCTGCTCTGCCAGACCTTGCGCTATCGCATCATTCAGCACCTCATCCTTGGAGTCGGAATCCAATAGACCTGCTTCCTTCCTTTCGGACAAAACGTCCAAGACCCAAGCCCTGCATTGAACCTTTTGCGCCGCAGTCAGCTCGCGACCAATGCGAGCACCGACCCGTGTGAGCAACACCCCGATGTTGGTTTTCCCAGTGTCAGCCTCTGCTGCCAATTCACGCGCCAGGCGCTCCAAGTCAGGCTGCGTTGGGACATCTTCAGCCTCCACTTGGGCGGGATCTGCGGCAGCAAAGGGCATGGCAGCCTTTCTCTTCTTCTTGGGCTCTGCGTCCGCCGGGCCACCTTGGAGATGGCAGCAGCAAGAGCAAACCCATAAATGCAGTATATGCCTGACAAACAGAAACCTTGTTGGTACAATTAGTTCAAGCCTGGGCTCCACGTTTCTTGCTTGCTGTCGACTTGGCTTTTGCTTTCGGGGCGGCCAGCCACTGTTGCTCTGCTTCTTCGTCCGAAGGCGATGACTGATCCATCAAGATCTCATTCAGGGGCATGTCTTTCGGAGGAATTTCTGAGCCCAGTCGACTTGCAGGATGCTCTAGCCAGTTAATGTTAGACTCGAGAAACGCGAGGAAGCACTCCTTGTTCAGCCCATTCCGAAGGCAGTAGGAGGACACCGCTTGGGCGAAGGCCTTTGGGGCCAAGAAGCGAATGTGCATGTCGGGCCGTGAAGCGAGTTCTCGAAGGGTCCGGTCGTCCTGGTGCATGTCGGTCAGTCTAGCCTTGATCATTGCAGCGACGGACGCCTCATCAGTGCAGCCGTTAAACAAGTCTGTCTCCCACCTCAGATCAGGTGAGACAGGCAACGATGGACATGATACAGCATTTGCCCCCCCTCGAACCATGCAGCTGAAAGCCATGGCCAAACGCAGCTCCCGTTCCGTGCGTGCTTCCTGGACCTGCTGGAGGAGCCTCTCAGTTGGATCACGTCCCAAGGCGTCGCGTTTGGAGGCTGCGTCCTGAAAAGCAAAGCCAAAGTCCTGGTCCGCACCTTCTTGGGCCTGAACGGGATGAACATGCAGAGCAGGGCGCGGCAGGAGATCAACATCCGCTATATATGCAAGACAAGCCTGCCTGCGATGCTCCCTGCGATGGTCGCATCCCGGTTTGTGTCGAGTCGCTGGCATTGTAGTCCTGCCAACTGCCAAGCATGTGCAGCAGTCGCGTAAGTATATATGGACACAAGGAGATGGTGAGCACGCAGAACACTTCAGAAGAACACGTATATATATATATATATACATATATATATACGTATATGTATATCGATATATGTGTATGTATGTATGTATGTATGTAGGTATGTATGTAGGTAGGTAGGTATGTATGTATGTAGGTATGTATGTAGGTAGGTATGTATGTATGCATGTATGCATGTGTATGTGTATGTGTATGTGTATGTGTATGTGTATGTGTATGTGTATGTGTATGTGTATGTGTATATGTGTATGTGTATGTGTCTGTGCGTGTGCGTGTGCATGTGCATGTGCATGTGCATGCGCATGTATGTATGCATGTATGTATGTATGTTTGTATGTATGTATGTATGTATGCGTAAAT